GAGCTGTATTTCAGATTGCTTAATATATTTATGATCATGACTTTACAAGTTAAAATATATGGGATGTAAGTTTTTTTCTCTTAGTAGGACAACTAACAACACTAGTAATGCCTGTGATTTACTCAACATTTAGTGTTTTATATTGGGTTTCTATGAAATTTGTTTAGTAAAGCAGGTGTTCTGCTCTTAAAATTGACTTAGTTAAAATACGCCCTTCATAAAAACAGTGAATGAATACTGTTCACCAAAAATAGAGGGACTCCCTAAAAGCACAGGTGTTAAGTCTCAGCATGATCATGCTATCACCCATCTCTACAGCCTAAGTTCGATCCCAGGCCAAGGAGGTAACCCACATGGCACAGCAGACCTCTCCTATCTTATCTGCTACTCCCCTTAGCAGTATATTTCTGTCCCTGACTCTGTCTCTGGTGAATCCTTTCACCCTCTATCCCCTTCTGGCCTACACCACAGTTCTTATATGCATAAATTAATAAAAAGAAATAAATAAAAAGAAACCTAACACATACTGATAAATATATATAAAGAATTCTGACTATATACATCCATTATGCTTTATTAACCTCTTGAAGAATCCAAATGAGAGATGTGCAATTTTATTTATATTAAGCAAAGCAAGCTTAACACACAACAAAAATACAAAACAAATTAGGATATATATTTTTTACCCCTTTTTAATATTAAACTTAAGTTTCAGTTTTGTTCATAAAACAAATATATAGGTTAACCTCAAGAGCTCACAGTAATCAGAGAAAACAATGTCCCATGTTCATTTTACTGTCCCTTCTTTTTCCTCTCAAGGAATTATTAGCACCATGGAATAAAACATGAAATCTAAGCTAGTTCTCTAGCTTTCACAACTTTAATGAACTTATGAAGTTCATTATGAACTAATGAAGCAAAATTTTATTTTTAATTTTAATAAAATAATAAATGCATTAGGAAAAACACTGAAAAATCTATGAAATGTAAATGAATACTACCTTTAGATACAGGGATCACTTAAATCCTCCAGAGTGAATCAAACATGAAGTCAAACATGGCAGTGAGTACAATCTAGATTTTCTTTTAGTACCATGTGCCCTGATAATTATTTTGATAAGCCTTCTCCATTTCCTCCTCTACAAAGCCCTAAACTTCTAAGGATACCTTCTCTTTTGCAGGATCCACTCGAAATTAATAAAGTTTCCTGTTTTATTCAGGGTAAGTGACTTTTATCCTGTAACTTGCTCTTTGCAACTTTTGGGATCCTTAATTGTTGAAGAATATTTGACTTCAAACTAATTTTCTGTAGTTATATGGTTTTCACATATCTTTCAATGAAATGAAATTCTATTTTTTCAAAAAGATACTGAGTGTACAATAATTAAAGAATGCACACCACCTCCCCACTCAATAGAAGGTATAACTTATTGAATACTAACTAAATAGTGAATACTAAGAGTTGTGGGGTAGAAATATTGAATTTAAAGTTCCAGTCTCCAGGAAATTATTATACAACTTGTTGTTATACAACAACAATTTACTACACAAAAAAACAAAGATTCCATTTATGAAATTTAGCCTCCTAGTAAGACAAGTCCTCAATTACTTTTGATACCCCTTCTCCCCCCCCACCTCTTTTACCCCACTTTGGTTAGTCATCAAGCTCTACGACTTCTATTGTTTCACAAATTTATCCCTTTATCTCGTCCCTATTGCAATTACTAGATCCACAAGTTCACTATCACTTACTGGGACTGCTGCCAAATCCTTTTACTTTCCTGACACCAGGTTTCTCTTCATCTGGCTCTCAGATGAACTTTCTAAAATGTACCAGTAGGAATAGTAGCCAGAATAAATATAGAACATAATAGCGCAATAATAAGACAATTATGCAAATTATGCATGTTATTTGAACAGACTTTACCAAGGATAATACGTGAACAGCAAAAATGCACATGGAAAGATGTTTAACATTATCAGTAAGGAAATGCAAAATAAAACTGTAATGACATACCACTATGTTCCCATTAGAATGGTGAGGAAAATGTTAAAACTGACAACAACAAATATGGACTAGGATGTTGAGCAACTAAAACTCTTATATCTTGCTGGTAAGAATACAAAATAGTAATATCAGTTGGGAAAAAAATAGTTTGGCAGTTTCTTATAAGGTAAAAAATACACTCAACACATCAATCCCACTCCTATTATTAAAATGATAACTATTTACACCAAAATATGTAATTGATGTTTATAAAATTTTTATGCATGATAAGCCAAAAACAGAAAACAGCCCAAATGTCCTTCAACTGGTGACTGGATAAACTAACATGGTTTTCCAAATAATGAAACATTACCTAGCAATAAAAAGGAAACAAACTACCAATATACAAAACAACATGGGTGAATTCCAAATACGTTATGCCCCCACAAATAAAGAAACCATGCTCAAAAGTATATAGTATATAAGTACATTTACATAAAATTCTGGAAAAGGAAAAGTTATAGGGCTAGGAATAAATCTAGTGACTGTCAAGAGACTGGAGGTGGGGGCATTGCTCTCTATAAGGGGCATGGTGAAACACCTTGAACAATAGTAATGTTTGGTACTTTGGTGTGGTGGTTGTTACAAAATCATGATCATTTTCATAACTTATAGGCTTAAAATAGAAATTTACATTTGTGTACATTTGTCTCTGGTGATTTTTAAATTACATTATATTTATATGTGTTATATAATATATATTCCAATAGTGCTATATAATATAAATTATAGTACATTATATTTCATAGGCTAAAATGTGTACATTTTATTGTATATAGATTATGTCACAATAAAATTGATTTAGAAAGGGAAAAAATAAGAGAATTAGTGTTTCCATCAAAACAAAGTACTAAGAAAGAAAGAAATTCCTTCTGAAGAAGCAAAATTACATAAGCTTTTTCCCTATAATTGATATATTTCTGAAACAAAAAATGTTAAGGTGATTCACAAGGGCTTTGAATGAGAAAATTGATAGACTCAACCTCTAACTGATTTCTCAAGAGAACATAAGCTGTCAGTGCAAAGACAACCTAGACACTATAATTTGAACAAGATTTAAAATGACATGAGGATTTTTGTAATGTAAAAACCACCTGAGATAAATGTAAATTTCTATTTTAATACTAATTCTTAACACTTAAGGAACTTTAGCATTTTTGGTTAGAGGGCACATAACATATACAAATGAATTATCTCTATGCATTCATTAATTTAAAGGTTATTTCTCTAATGTTTGATTGTGTTTTGCTCATTATTTGTATCACTGCACTATTACCTGTGTGCTTGTTATTAAATTACTACACTATAAAGCTATATCCCAAATTCATTGTATTTATGCTTAATACAGCAAAAGAAACTAACTTTCCATTTTTGCTTTCAGTGAAATATCATTACTTAAACTTATATTAAAAACTAATATAAGTAATAAAAGGTAGTGTAAAGAATCATTATAGACTTAAAATGGAATTTAAATTGCAAAAAAAAAAACAGTTTCACAACAACTTTTCATGTATATATTTGTGTATACTTTTTCATTTGTATATAGAGCCACAAAACATATACTCAAAATAATTATTTACACTTGATCTTAGCCAAAAGGCTGAGAGGCAATTCAAAATATTTCTTTAGAGAATTATTTTAATTTAAACAAGACCTCCTGAAAATTAAACTCAAGTAATTCAATTAAATCAATCAGACTTTGAAGTAAAACATTTCTTCAAAAGTCAATTGCAAAATCCTTCTTAAATACTATATGGTCTACCTAACTTTAATCCTCTTTGGGTATGCATTTTCCTGTAAAACCATGATAAGCAAAGCACACAAGCACACAGCTACAATGAACAGAATCTTGATGCCTAGAATTACCTTCATGGTAAAGAAGCACTAAAACCAGAATTTATTAGCATTTGGACTAATGGCCTATGTATGGCTTAATGGCATGGTATGCTGAAAATTTCAAAGGGACTGTCTCACATGTGGCTTAATAATTCAATGCCTATTGAAATTTATGCTACCTTATTTCTGTAGATTCATTAATGCTAAAGTGATTCCAATAAACAGATCTTATTTGTAATTTCACTTAAATCTGCACAGCAATTTTTCAAAATCATAATATTACTGATGATGTTAATATAGATGAATCTCTTGGTTGTGGGTAATTTCTTTCCTCTTCACAGTGGTAGGTTGTGTTAATACAACAATTTTTCTTTTATTGTTCACTAATGAGATAGTAATTGCCATTAAAATCCTACTGGGAATATAGACATAAATATAATAGGTCTAAGAGCAGGTTTCACTGTATTTGTAATAACTGACACATTTATTTTGATCTGCAAGAACATACCAGTACCAAAATGTTTTTTATTCTTTTAAAAAAAGAATAAAAGATGAATTGCATATTCTTAGAAATGTGTCAACAAGACAAACAAATTTAACTAGGCAGACTTCAATTTCTTTCCAGCATTTAAATGGATGAGCAATTGGCAAAACAGTCCTTTTTATCAAAAACCTGTTAACCTCTAATTGGAAACCCTAAATAAGTGCTATTTTCCAACGGTTGAACTAGAAACATAACTACCAGTATCAATTTGAGTTCCAATGTACAAAAATGAAAAATTCCCCAACTCTTCATATATTGAATGTGCATCAAGGAAATGTACCAGAAGATATTTTAATTTTTTTGTTGACTGGCAACTCTACCTTCAGAGTTTACTTACAGTGTAGAGATTTCTAGCAGTTCATTTCAGATAATTATGTTCTAGTAATTTATTTCATTTGATGAACTATATTTTACAATTAATACCCTTTGAGACCTTAGTTACTCTTCACATTGCTAAAAGTGATTGGTATTATTTTTACCATTCAGCAGGGAAATTAAAAAAAGTTCCAGTTTCTCATTTTTAGATTATAATCATTAGTAAAGCCCAAGTGAAATATAAAAGGAAAACAATACCTTTCATGATGTCCCAAATCTGACAGAAATTCATCTGCATGTCTTTGGAGTTCATTTCCTTCTAAATTCTTTAATTTCTTCAATTCACTTTGTAGAAAAAACCAAAGCTCTTTAGCTCCATTTTCAATCCTTCTCCTTAGGATTTCATGATCCTTTCCTAGACCTACACTCAAAGAAAAGAGAACATCAACATTTCAAAAACCTTGATGAAAGAAAATTTTCAATTATTTGGCTAATATCATATATTGAAATGGGAAAACACTATAGAATCACCTACCATTTTTAGTTTGTTTCTTATAATTTTCAATCTGTTCTTTGGCCTTCACAAGCTGCTCTTCTAAAGCACGAACCCTTCCTGAAGCTGGCCCCTGATCAATGGGGCCTTCTGGTATCCTGTAACTCAGGAAAGAAAATGCAAACACTCAGCTTATAAATAAATTACAATGTTTGCTTTCCAAAGGCATATTTATTGGTAACTCTGATAGTACATTAAAGGTACTAAATGAAATTCCCTAATGTCTCTTAAAAGGTATAAAGTGTAAGTACTTGAATGATCATGAATGAAAAAAAAAATTATAGCTTAGAGATGTATGACCTAGGAACTGACTGACTCGTAAAAATGCTGAATAGCAACATCAGCACCAGTGGGCAATTCTTCATTAGTGCTAAGAATAACAACTGTGAAAAAAATGCTTGAAGGGAGTAAGAATGCACACTTCTAACCATGTTTCCATGTTCAAATATCAATTACAAAATTTTTCTAAACTTATCATACTATCAGACAATGTAAGTCTGTGCTTCAAGTAATGAACGCATGCACTTAAGGTTACTAAGCACTGGTTTTATAAGAAAAGGAAAGAGAAGAGTATAAGTACATCAGACAAAAACTGAAGATTAAGTCATCCAACAATATAAAATATTAAAATGTAAAATAAAATGTTAAAGGATGGGAAGAAACTCCATTTAACTCCATTTTAAGCTTTCTTGCTTAAAATATCAACCTCTGTATAATTTGTTACTAAACTGTATTTGCTTCTAACATATGTCATTTTAAAACTTATGACAATATTTGTACTCCATTATGACCACAAAATATATCCATATTCAAATCCTGGGTCCTATGAATGATACCCTATATGATAAAAGAAACTAAATATGTGATTAAGAACTTTGACATGGGAAAATTGTCTTGGATTACCAAGGTATGCAGTAATTGTAATTACAATTGTTTTTGTGAGAGAGATTTTATTACAAAAGAGGAAAAGGTGATGTGGTTATTAGCTGTGAAGATGGAGAAAGGGTCAAGAATGCTAACTCAAAGAAATATAAGCTAAGAAGCTGGAAAAGAAGAGAAACAGATTTTTGCCAATAGCTTCCCTCAGGAATGTGATCCTGCTGACACCTTGTTTTTAGCTTAGTGAACCTTAGTTCAGACTTCTGTCCTTTTCAACTACAAGAGAAAAAAATTCCCATTGTTTAAAGCCACAAAGTTTATGGAGTTTGCCATAGCAATAGGAAAAGAGTACATTCAGTAAGTCCTCACTTAGTATCAGTATAGATTCTAGGAAATATAAGAAAAATAACATATAAAAAATTGTTGAGGCCCTCCCTGGTGGCGCAGCGGGTTAAAGCACTGCACTGAGAAGCTAAAGCCACTTCCACATGAGTTCGATACCCGCCTGCCCCGGAGGAGACCACATGGCGTGGCAGACCTCTCCTGACCCGCCCGCTGCTCCCCTCAGCAGTGTACTTCGTCGATCTGCCTGTTCTGTTCCCCACTCTGTCTCTGGTGAAGCCTCTCACCGCCCCTGAGCCTCTGGCCTGTACCCCAGTTCTGTATGTACAAATAAATAAATCTTTAAAAAAAAATTGTTGAATAATTTCATTTGTTCCACGTTGAACAGGATTATTTTTTCTCATCAATATTGTAACAAAATTATGTATAACAAAATGATGTCGAATGATAAGGCATTAAGGACTTGCTATATGTAAATACATACAATATACATAAAAACTTTTGTGTAAATCTATTGTGAAGACTAAATAAATGGTTGAACTCCCCCCACCCCCTGCCCTGGAAGTTTATTTAAATGATATAAAAAGTCTTATATAAAAAAACTTAGCAGTGTCTAACAATAAACTTTATTGAAATTATCATACTTAGGCTCAGTTATGTTAGAGAAGAGCTATAATCTCAGAATGATTGGCTTACAGAGGCAATTGCCAAGGTCTGGTCCCCAAAGGTGGAGGCACTTGTAGTACTTGGTGCAGCAAGCCAGAAGGATACTATTTGGACACACAGTCTCTTAGTTGGGAACAGGAGTAATAATACCTTGGATAGCAGGGAACAGTACAGACATCACAGGGTTAACACTGAAGAAATTCATGTTATATTGAACAACAGGTGGATGAAGAGAGGATTCATGGGTTGCGGACTAAAGAAGCTGTGTGGTCAGCTCAGCTTAACACCCTAGGTAAAGAGGGCCCTTGCTGGTGAGGCAACAGGTTAAAGCACTGTGAAGTTATCCACAGCCACTGCAGCATGAGTTCAATCCCTGGCCAGGGAGGTGACCCACATGGCATAGCACCTGCTTCTTGACCCACCTGCTTCTCCCATCAGCAGTGAATTTCAGTACATCTGCCTGTTCTGCTTCCCACTCTGTTTCTGGTGAGTCCTCTCACTCTCCCCAACCTCCCCCCCCACCACCACCCTCACTCTCCACATCTCTGACCTGCACTCTAGTTCTTGTATGCATAAATAAATAAATCTTTTTTAAAATTTTTAAATAAACACCCTAGGTAAAGGGAAGAGGAGGTTTGTGGTGACATAGTCCCTTGAAAGAAGGGAAAACCTTTTGGAAGAACAAGGATGTTCCACACAAACTGGTTCCTCAGTAAAGATAACAACAGAGTTCATATTCTGATCTATATATGCTTTTCCCACTCCCTGAGACTAGACCTTATTTTGTGAGGTGCTCTGAGAACACAGGGACCACCCAGTCTCTCACTGTAGCCTCCAGAGTAGAGGATTAACAGAGTGCCATAAACAAGAGCCAGTCCCACCTGAATTCATCCATACCAACATTGGGTCTCTCAAAGTCCCTTCCCACCCTGCAGGCTCAGATCTGAATACATACAAATTCCAGCAAAGGTCAAAATAAATAAATAAATAAAGTCAAACACTGAAGATATTAAAAACAATAATAAGTTATTGCCAAAATGACAATATGCACACACAAAAATAACACATGGATATACAGGAACTGAGTATAACATCACAAGATGAGAATAACTCTCTAGAATCCAAATACAAACAAAAAAGAAATATTTTATCTCCTACCAGACAGAGTTCATAACAATAGAAAAGAAACTAAAGATGGAAGAAAACTCAGGAAGAAAATAAAATCAATACAAGAGAACTTAAAAGGAAGTCACAGAAATACATGAAAACTCAGAAAAGCCAATCAAAGAGAAAAATGTTCAGGAAAACAAATTAATGAGCTCAGAAATGAGATCACCAAACAGAAGGCAGAATTAGAAGGTTCAAATGAGAAAAATAACAGAAATTCAGAAGATAATAAGCTCAATAAATGAGATCAAGAATTCAAGGAAAAGCTATGAAAGTAGCATATATCAAGTGGAGGATTGAATCAGTGACTTTGAAGGCAATAATGCACTGAAGACCAGGTGGAAGAGAAAAAAGATATAAAAAAGAAGAATGAATAGGAAATTTGAGAAACATTTGATATCATTAAGAAAGCCAACATAAAATAATAAGTATATCAGAGGAAGAACAGAGAGCATACTCAAAGAAAATCACAGAGGGAAACTCCCACACCACTGAACTAATGAGTAAAAATCAAAGAAGTTAAAAAATACCTGGAGACGAATAAAAATGAACACCTGATTTACCAGAACCTATGGGGCATATTAGAGGGAAGCATATAGTAATGTTGGCCCACTACAAGAAACAAAAAAAAGAGCTAAAAATTTACCCTATACTGCAAGGAGCTAGAAAAAAGAAGATAAGACCACAACTCAGTAAAAAGGGGGAAAAAAAATAGAGCAGAAATAAAAGAAATAGAAGTGGGGGGGGGAGAGTTTTAAAAGATAAATGAAAACTAAAGCTGGTCCTGAAAAATTAAAATAGACAAAGCCTTTAGTTAGATTTATTAGGGGAGGAAAAGGAGAAAACTTTAATAAATAGAATTAAAAAAAAAAAAAAAACAGGGTAAGCTACTATAGAGCACCTCAGAAATACAATGATCATAAGAGACTACCGTGTGTCCTCATAACAACAAACTGGAAAATCTGAAATAAATAGACAAATTGTTAGAAGCATATGTATCATTCCAAGACTCAAAAGGAAGAAATAGAAGATATGAAGAGACAAATTACAAACAAGGAACTGAAACAATAATCAAAAGTATCTTAGAAACCAAAAGCCCAGGGTCAGATGATTTCACTAGGGAGTCCTACCAACTTTCATAGAAATGTTCTTAAACACATTTTACGAGGCACTCTTTATTCTGATACCAAAAGCAAACAAGAAAATCTCAACAACAAAAAAAGAAAACTACAAACCAATATCCCTAGTGAACATAGATACAAAAAAATCCTCAACAAAAACAATATTAAACAGAATTCAACAATACATTACAAGAATTATACACCATAACCAAGTGGGATTTATTCTAGGGAGGCAAGCCTCAACCTATGCAAATTAATGTAATTCACCATATTAACAAATGAAAGACATAAATTTAACTAAAAAGCTTATATACAGAGAAAGAAATGATTGACAAAATGAAAAGGCCATCTATGGAATGGGAAAATGTATATACAAATGACATTTCTGATAAGAAGATAAAAGATCTAAACAGTCATTTTTCCAAAGAAGACATACAAATAGCTGATAAGTTATATACTAGTGATCAACATCACTAAACATCAGGGAAATGCAAATAAAAACATAATACAATATCATCTTACAGCTGTTAGAATGACTTATCAAATAAATAAGAAACAACAAGTGTTAGAAGGATATAGAAAAAGTGAACCTTGGTGCACTATTGTGGGGATGAAAATTGATATAGTCGCCTAGAAAACGATATGAGGCTCCTGAAAAGTTTTTAATAGAATCACCATATGACTAACTACTCTATTTCTAGTTGTATATATAAACAAAATTAAATCTGGAAACTATTCCTAGCACCTTCGTTTTCATTGCAGTGTTACTCACAATACTGATGACAACCTAAGTGTTTGCCAACAGATCAGAGGATAAAATGTATACATATGTGGCTGATGCATATACATGACTGTATATACACCCTTGTATACACACCCACAGTTGAATATTATTCAGTCATAAAAAGAAAGGAAATCCAGCT